ATATTGAAAGATTCGAATGAAGATCAATGCAGAACTCACGCTGCGAATATGACAAAGAATAGCACCCAGTTAATGGGTGGAGATTGTGCAAACGATACTTGCACTATAATGGGCGTTGTGAAATTATAAACTTTCACCTATAAAATTGCTCAATTGAAACTTTTAGAAGCCATGACTCACAAAGAAGGTTGTGTTGGAGTCTGTCCCGAATATCCATCCATCTGAATCCGATGCTGAATAGATACGTCTGAACCCACGATGATCGCAAAGTGTATTTGTCTGTAAATTAAAAAATGAATAAGCGAATCATATTAAAAGAACAGTTTTATAATAAAATTTACCATTAACCGTCTAGTCTTACTACCGGCTAAATACGATGATGTTTCATTCAAAGCAACTAGTGCGTGCTGATCACAACTGATTTGGAAAGTGACATCAGTGTCACGCTGTAAAACTGATTAAATTATAAATTTTTAATTGGCTCTCACCTTATATGGTATGCTGAACAGAAATAGTTCAGTAGCATGCTGATCTTTGTCTTCTTTCTTTAATTTGAATGTGAAAATGAAATCAACAGCTAATTCGTCTAAAATTGATATAAATATTAGTGTGTGATATGTTCATTTCGTTTCTCATACAATAGCAAGGAGTTCCATTAGCAGGCTGTCCATAGTACTTGGCATCACATTTCTCGCAATGCTTGCCAACTACTCCTTTAGTTCTGCAGTAACATAAGCCACTTCGTTGATCACAATCATCAGCTTGACCATTGCATTGACAAGCTGAAGAATACAATTAATTGAAAAAAAGAAGTTTTGAAATCATCTAAGATCTCATAAAACGAGGAAAACCTCACGTTGACAAGATCCACCGTTTCTTGGATCACCGAAAAATCCATGCGCGCATACTTCACAATGCTTTCCTTGTGTGTTATTAGCACAAATTCCACAAATCTCTTGAGTTCCACCAAGTAGTGTGGTTACAGTGCTTTCGCAGTTTGCGTGACCATTACACTGACAAGCTGAAAATCACATCTGACGTTTTATGGGTTTCCCTATCTTTTCGCTTACATGGACAATCTATGAAATGCCATTTTCCATTTTTGATCAAGCTATCTTCTCTTGGACCACGAGCGTTTCCAGATACACATGACCCTAATCCTGTGCCTGAGCCATTATCTAACCAGCCACAATCGGGAGCCATTTGACATTCAGCACATGTCTTATGTAACGTGCAATTATAGACATCTGTATCAAAAAATATTATATATTGGGATTACGGTAGATTATACCTTGACTGCATATTCGAGCACCACGGATTGTATTACCACTAAGCCATGAGAAACACTGACCATATGGGAAAGTGAGCGTATAAGCTTCCATGTGGACACAGATCTCTAAATTCGGACACCACATGCATTTGCTACTTGATACACAGTGAGAACAATTCGTGAAATTCGAGCAAGCTCGAGGACATTCAAAAACTTCCTAAAAATTAATTACATGTTATTTTCATCCCTTGTTGATGGATTTTTTTATATTTGAATAGAATATTATTGTAACCTACGTTTAGCTTCTCATGGTTGATATGCACGTGGTTGAGAGGCAAGTTTTCTGCGTTTATTCTTTCCAGCTCCTTATTCTGACGTTCAGCAAGTAGAAGTACTGAAATATCAGTCTTACAATCATTTAATCTAACGTTGTTGGATAACCTTCTTCCTCTTTGGATATACATGACCCTTTATTGGTTCCTTCTGGCAAAAACCATCTACAGTGTGAAAGTACTTGACAACTATGACAATCATTAGCCATAGAGCATGGTCTTGGCTCCACATTTTTCAGATTAGGACACTTCTCCCAACTTTTGAGAATAGCTTGACCATCCAAACATTCACTATCAGCTGGTAGACATTGATGACCCGACGCACACCATCCACACGCAAGCTGTAAAACACATGACACGCAATCGGATTGTTCTTCACACGATTGGCGAACAGATAGGAGTCCGCAAGCTAGCATTGATCTTGTTTTTTCATCTTTCAAGAGAGATAAGAATGGTTGTTTGTAGCTGACATGTGGATCAAGTCGTAAACAAGATCTTTCGGTGAAAATGCATTTTGTTCCTCCTCGAATGCTGTTACACGTTTCTGGTCGTGATGCAGCTGAGCAATCAGCTAAAAAGAATCTTCATGAAACAATCAATAAGTGTAAAACGTACGAGTAATCATTTTCCAAACATCTTTCAGCATTTGACCATTAAAACCATATAATACATATATGGCATTGTTGAAAGCTACGCTACTATGCCCATATCTACGTGACACATCCGAGTTAACAGAAACGTTCAGCCACACTTTGCAAGCTGTAACATACAGTATACTCTTATATAAATAATATATTCAATTACCTATATCATATATTTGAATTGTATTAGTGAAGCATTCTTGGCGGGTTTTCAATACTCCAATGTTATATCCGTTTCCTCCAATTGTAATAAGAAACCCATTGGTTAATACTGCAGAATGAAGAAACGCTTTAACACCGGATGATGGCAGAATCGTCCTAAGAACATATTACTCAGTTTTACATCGTTTCTTCAGTTTTCTCACCATTTCTTCTGTTGAACATGATATTGCAATAAACTATCGGTGAGATTATTATTCTGAACACTAGACCACATGGAGCCACCATGAATGAGAACAACGTCACCCTAACAGATAAAATTTGTATAGTAATAGAATATTAACGATTACCTGTTCTGTCAACTCATGAACACTTACATGACCAAATCTACCAAAAACGTTATCGTTCGCTTGCTCGAGCCTCCATTTACCACTTTCTTTAAAATAACAAAATGAAAGGATATACGTGCTGAAATATGTCGATACCAAGATCATAAACCT